CAGGGCTTGGGGTGGCTGAATCTAGTGTCTTCCCAGGGGCCTGGGGATGGTGGGCTTGGCAGGAGGAGGGTCTGGGGGCGTGGAGAAGCAGGGGAAAAGAGTTGCCTTGCTGCTCTGCAAGCTTGGAGAAGGTGTCTTGGATGGTCTTGAGAGACCCTTTCCCTAGAGTGTCTTCCCCCCGCCTTAGCCTTGCTGTTCACCCTGATGGCGTTCGGGTAGCCTCGGGACAGACAGCTGGAGTGGATAAGGATGGAAAGGTAAGGCCAAAGTCAGGAAGCAGGCAGACACGCTGTAATTGCACTCCAGCTTTGCTTCACACCTTGACTCTTCTTCCTTCACCAGCCCCTGCAGCCTGTGGTTCACATGCGAGGCCTAGTGGCACGCACCTGTAATCCCAGCTACTGGGGAGGCTGAGGCAGGAGAGTTGCTTGAACCCAGGAGTCGGAGGTTGCAGTGAGCTGAGGTCACGCCATTGCACTGCAGCCTGGGCGACAGAGCGAGACTGAGGCCTGGTGGTCTGGAGGAGAGAAAGGGCTCTGGCACCCTGCACTGCCTCTTCCAACCTTTGTGGCCTTGTGCTGTGCACTCATTCAGCCTCAATCTTCTTTTTTTTTTTTGAGACGGAGTCTTGCTCTGTCTGCCAGGCTAGAATGCAATGGCGGGATCTCAGCTCACTGCAAGCTCCGCCTCCCAGGTTCACGCCATTCTCCTGCCTCAGCCTGTAGCCTCCCTAGTAGCTGGGACTACAGGCGCCCGGCCACCTCACTCGGCTATGTTTTTGTATTTTGTTTGCGTAAGAAGATGTGGGTTTCACGCGTATTAGCGCAGGATAGGTCCTGTTGATTGTCCGACCTCGGTGATCCGCCCATCTCGGCGCGCTCCGAAAGTGCGGGATTACAAGGCCTTGAGCCACCACGCCCGGGGCCGTCAGCCTCAGTCTTCTTTTTTTTTTTTTTTTTTGAGACAGAGTCTTCGCTCTGTCGCCTAGGGCTGGAGTGCAGTGGCCCGGAACTCAGCTCACTCAAGCTCGCCTCCCGGGTTCCACGCCATTCCGTCCTGACTCAGCCTCCCTAGTAGCTGGGACACAGGCTCCCGCCACCTTCGCCTCTAGTTTTTCGGTATTCTTGAAATTAATCC